CGCGCGTTCATACTGCCACGAACAAACTGGGATCACATGGTTGATCTCGGCGGGCGAAAGCTTTAGCGCGGTGAGAACGAAGACAAAATATGGTGTGAAATGAATGAATCATGTTGTCCATTGTATCGATCAACTGCTTGAACAACTCCATTTATTCTGACTGTGCACTTATTGACTTGATTGAGACCTAAAATAACTACGAAAACATCACTTAGTACGTACACACATTACCTAAGTTTCATCAGCAAAATACCATAAGAACAACCGTATTTTCTGCATAAAAGATACACCTATAAAGCTATATCTCATAGACCTTATAGATAAATTAAAAAAGAGTGAGGAAATTATTAATGGAAAGTGAATATTGAGAGTCCTCAAATGCAAAACTATAATGAAATTTTCCCTTGTTAAACGCCTATCCGGTCGTATCAGGAAGCATAGCTTAAGTTTATCCTCATATGGATTGAGGCGGCAATTAACAGTCACTTAAGACTGCAGTTGATCATAAATTCAACGTATGTGAGACTCTCCGTTCTCTCTGCATGGTCAGAGAGGTAAAATCCTGAATGCTGTTGAAGTCTGAGATGATTGAATTCTGTCTCTGCAATAGCTTATAAAAAACCAACAGGTGTTTCATAGCCATTCACCCATAACCTGATGACGGAATCTCTGTCCAAATTCACCTCATTTCTTATCTTTTTCATTTAACTTCCTTTTTGTTGAACACACAAAAATAAAATTTTCAGGAAGAAGGAAGTGGCCAGTCAGTGGACTGCGATACAACACAAAAATGGGGATAGTCAAGCGGTGGTGGTAGGAATCGAATACGCGTCCTCTGGAGTGATAATCTTGTGGCGTTACTACTGGGCGACTTCCACACTCACAGCCACTCAAACACATGAACAAACACAACAAATGTATCTATTATCACGGCTATGAGTTTTTATTCTAACGTGGTCATTGTGTTTCAATGAATTATCTCTTCTCAGTCCATATTTCTACTGCTGTCAAATGCGTTCTATTTCAACAACTCGTTCAGAACAGAAAACAGGTATGTCGCTCAAATTACATGGATACTTTCAAGACAGAAAACTACGTTGTTTTTTTTACCTTTTCCTCCTCCCCCATCCAAACAATATCATTATTGAACGCAACGTTGTTGTGAAGATTTTGAGCTAGGGGGTGGTTACAGAAATCGTGTAGATGTAGTTTCAATTGTCGCCATAGTTCTCTCTCTTACCGTTTTGTCGTTGTGTAAAACCTTTTAATTGTATCCACATACTGATATGCACCTTAGAAATGGAGATACTCTCTATTTTTTCAGTTTCTGGAATTAGTTAATTTGTATGTGTATACTAAGTTATATCAAGTTGTTAACACTCCTGGTTTGACCATCGCATAAGTAAATTCGTTCAACCGTAATGACCGAGTTATCATTAGAGATTGAATCGCAATCCACGAAGCGAACTCGGATTCGGGCAAATCGGTCACTGAGATCTCGCTCTTCTGTTCTCGTACTCCATCCAGTTTAAATTGCCGATCGGACATTTGAATTCCGTAGGTGGCTGAGGTCTGCCACTGACATACTTTGAACCCTAAGGTCTAACACCTGACTCTGGTTCGTTGATTGACTCAATATCGCACCACTTCTTTCGTGGGCCCTGTGCAGCTGGCTGTTCCAATAACCAAGGCTTGAGTTGTCAGTTCGTATAACCAAATAGAAAACTCACCTCTTATATTCACCTGCCATTTTATTTAGTACACCATGTTGTGCCATGAAAACAATCAATACCGCCGTCATACTAAGTATTTTAATATGGTTATATACGTGTTGTGTCTACAGTTTGCACTGTTGCTAACCGTCCAACAACAAGATAGTGTGTTGCAAATCGAAAATCCAAATGTTCTCCCATACTAAGTATCGTTAATAATCAATGCCAAATTTTTGATTCATTGTCCCGCCCCCACCCCCTTCAGTTATCACAAACGTTGTTGGCATTGTATGAAATGACCACCGTGTCAGATCCAGTTACCATAGTCTGTAAATTATTGAACCATTCAGAATGTATATTTATCTTTCGATTATCAGACCCCATCTCTACGGTCTCTCGTCTCTTGAACTTCTACACAAAACGGTAACTTGCTCAAACTCTATTATTCATCTAACCATTAGATCAGCAAATTATCAATGAAACTGAACGCTCAGTCCATACCTACTTGAAGAGGATGTAAGCAACGAAACCTATTCATTCGCTGTATAAAAAGTGTTAGCCTGCGAGTGAAGACTCACCTCTTCACGTACTACACGTCTTCGCACTTGCAACAACAGATAAGTCATCAGGGCGGCACGGGCAGATTGTGTTGGTTTGATGTCACGTGTTCGATGCCATTCTAGGCCGTAAAAGTTGCTATTGGACATGATGGGGTCACGACCGGCCAGATACACATACTCCTCCCACCAATCGGTAACCTGCGTTATATTTTATCACGAGGAAAAAGAAAAAAGAACAACAAATGAAACCATGCAACAAGTGGAGAGAAGAGAAGAACTGATAGAAACTTGTGTTGGTTTTCAACAGAAACCGAAATGCTCAGTTTCCGCAAAAAGTTGACTCACTTTATAGCAGAGAGCCACGTTATTATTACTTTTTAGGAACAACCTTTGAGGTTAAATACATCAAGCAGAAAACTCTATGAACGACCATCGGAACAGGTTGCGTGCAATCAAATACTTTCAATGTTTAAGTCATAGCCTGTTTCGTGTGGGGATCGTCAAATACATACACTCACATCAACTTCCGGATTTATCTGATAGTAACCTATGTTGCCGCTGCTGACAATCACCACTTCATTCCATACGTTCATTTATTCATTGATAAAGCAAAGTGAAGTGAGCTCAAGCATGCAATGATCTTGACGCGTTGTTTATTGATAAACGCACTGGGAAGTACGGTTGATAGAGAGACAGGTGGAATGTGTAGGTGATAGCAATCAAACAAACCCACCGAATTAACGAACAACATAGGCCTAATTATAAGGTTCACCGCTATGTTTTTAGCACTAGCTGGGAAACGCGGATCACCTTGGACGGATTCACCTACCTTGATCTGAGAGATTTGAATCTTCGCTTCTAAGATATAGATCATGAAATGCAATTCCTGCCTGCTTCGATAAAATCCTATCCATTTTGTGGAAACGTCAAACTCAAAGCCAAGGTTTGACTGCTGGGAATACCCATCAGTCGATTGATTTTCTTGTTTCACAGGGTCTCCGTACAACAGAAACAATTTATGGATCATAGAGAGATTATGCGTGTCAAAAACTTGTATTGTTTCGTGCACTGCTAAGGATGTCGAAACTAAAGATATGACAATGTTTCATCCAGTTTTGGCTTGAAAGAGTCAAGTGTGTTGGCCCAGAAGCAACGTAAAGTGGTAGGGAATTCTAAATACTACGCACTTTGAGGGAAAATGAATGACTTCTTTATGCTAGTCGACAGTTTTGGATTACTAATTTGAACCAGTGCCCACCGAGGTCGAAGTTGGGCGACAAAGCGAACAGTGAACAATATGGATGCCCAGAGTTCCGCATTATTTTATACACCAAATCCAAATCCCCTCAAATTCGGCGATACTGTGTGAAGTACAGCCTCAATAATTCCAGTCTTCACATAAGGTTTGGAAAGCTGTTTTCCTCGATCATCTTGATGGGCGTTTCAAAGGCTTACGATCGCGTTGGAGCCATGGCTTCCACGCTTGAATGGTATACTCTGTGTTGGGTCAAATGCAGGTTGATAACAAACGTGGGGACAGAAAAGGTTCAAAAAATATAACTCTGAATAGTCTTCTGAGGTGCACAATTTTTTTGTGTCTATCAATCAGTTTTGTGCCTAACCTTAGATGTTGTCCTCCAAATCACCGAATTCTTGTGTGACAAGGATGGGTTCCATCAAATTAGGCACAACAAATATAAAATCAAACTTAAAACTTAAAGAAATACTTCAGTTTGTAAAGTTAAAAAGAGTAGCTTTTGTAAACCAATAGCTTACTGATATTATCCACACGCAAAAATATCCTACCCATTGCGAACCATTCAAAAGAGAAAGTACGACAAATATTTTCACGAGGTTTGCGAACGTGATCGTTAAACACTTTTAAATAAAACCAAGAAGAATGCACCGTTCGGACTTCACCTTCACGTACCATCCTCAGTTCATCGATTCAACCATACACTCGGAAGCCCCAGACTCCAGTTTCGCTCTTATTAGAGCTCATCAGTAGTGCATATCCACCGTCTCGTCCGGGATCTGAACTCAAGATCCGTAGCATGGAAGGTGTGTGCGTTACCACTGCACCAACCAGCTCGTTTCAGGGCTTAACGGAATAGACAATTCATGCTTGTTCACGCGTGTTCAGTGATAGGTAGTCAGTTCATTTTGGCTGGACAGTAGTGCTTCCGAGTATATGACCGACTGAAAGAGTTGAGAAATTTGCGTGAAGGTGAAGTATGGTCATTTCCGATCAATCAATATCAAATATCCCATACCACTACTCACAAGTAACTGTGAAGCAAATATTAAAGAATCGTTTTGCTTCTTCACTCCAAATTAAGCTAACCTCGCGTGATGCATGATATGAAGTATTAGTCTGCAAACACTACATTGTTCCCGAACCAGTTTTCTGGAATCGGGTTGATACAAAGCCGTGTCGTAGATACCTGAACAAACCTGAATTGGCAATTCGGTTCAGCTCTGAAATGAGCTGGTTGGTGCAGTGGTAACGCACACACCTNTTCCATGCAACGGGTCCGGAGTTCAGATCCCGGACGAGACGGTGGATATGCACTACTGATGAGCTCTAATAAGAGCGAAACTGGAGTCTGGGGCTTCCGAGTGTATGGTTGAATCGATGAACTTGGGATGGTACATGAAGTTGAAGTTCGAACGATAGTCAAATTAATCAATGAGTAGTATTTCACAACACTCGTTCCCTCGGCGAAAATGAACTCTGCAAGCTGCGGGTAATGAGTTCTTTCTTCCTAGAGTTCGAACGGGTTTGTCTTTAGTTGACAACTTTTTGTAGTTTCATGATTGATTTTTGACGACTCTGGCGTACGTCTATGGTCCTAGTGCCATCTACCGTGTTCAATTTCATACACGTATGTTGTCACTTATTTCCTGAAACATGTTCATTGAAATGTTTTTTATCCGTATTCTACATTAACCTCGTCATCTAGGGAGTAACTCCACTGTTACAGGGTCACCAATACGGCCTTCGATATGGTGCTCGTACACTGCTTTCGGCAGCTTCGGAAGTGCACTTGGTTTCTGTTTCTTAATCATTCTTAACTTCCTCGTCGTTTTGTTGTGTAGTCTGGTAAATTTTGCGTGTCTGTCGTGTTCTCGTTAGAGAATGTTTGATTTTCTGCACTGCCAACTTGCGGTTCATGTTTGCCAACTGTCTTCACTGCCGTATCCGCGGCTTCTAATTACCCAGTTGATCGAAGAAACAGCAGCACTTGTGTCAGAAAGACATGGCACTTTCTGATCCCCCATTTCCATATTGGTCTGGACTAAACAACGATCAGCCGTTCTGGCGAGAGCCTTGTTTGCGGACAACGGTTTGAACGCAATCAGGAGTTCTCCTAGGGACCGCCTGCGCTGTGTTGCGGTGCACTTTTCTGCCAGCACTCTGGCTTTTCGTGCTCAGAATTCCCCTTCTGGACAGCTCTCTGGTTGTGATCAGTTCGGATGGTAGCCATTTTCTCCGGTAATTAATGGAGTGTTGCCGTAACTCCTGCAGGTTGGTGTCTAAGGCCTTTGCTTGACCGGACAGGTGTGGCTTTCTTCTAAGAGAACTCTATCAGGGTATCCGCCAGTTTGAATGCATCAATGGTCTTATCAGTATTAATCATCCATGCTGTCTCCCACAGATCTTCCGACAGGCTCTCCATGAAAAGACCGAGCAGTAATTCAGTACGCGCGGCATCGTCCGAAGTTGATAGCGCTTGATTTAACAGAGCGCGCAGGGCCACGGCATGTGACAAGGGTCCGCTCCAATTCCGAGTTGCGCCATCTTGAAGCTCCGCAAAGCCTCCTGGAGGCCGGATGGGGTGTCGAAACCCGTGATCAGGATGTCCTTGACGGCGGCCTATTCCGTCTTCTCTGGATCTCTTCGTACCACATCCAATACGACCCGCGCATGGAGAGCCGTTAACTTACCCTAGTCACTTCCTATCCCCCCCCAGCTCCACGAGGTCCTCAAACTCCATGAACGTCCGCGCGTATCCGTCCTCGAAAGCTTCAGGCCATAGAACCCTACATCCTGGAGACGGAACCAGTTGTTTTAATTCTAGGCGGTGCTTGGTCGAAAAGAGTTGTTTATTATGAATAACGGTCAGGATATCAGTAAAATAGCATACACACAACCAAACATCTCCTTTGGAACAAGTTTTCCGAATCCACCCCCCCCCCCGCACNCCCGCACACTCACACACAAGATAGTTGATAGAACCGTCCTCTATTAGATGCGCATTCTTGTATTTGAAATAATGAACAGCAATTTGCCCCAAAAGGTCTTGTTCATTTTTGACGTTGAAAGAAACCACGAACTGTAACCTCCTGCGTACTATTCCCAAATGTGAGAAGTACCTCACAACAGTAGTATGCACAACTTGAACACAAAACATCCCAGGGGAACTGCTTTGATTTGAATGTTCGTTTCATATTATGTATATCCGATGGAAGACGAAGTAGTTTTCTTATAATTCCTGCGAATTTACACACTGAGAATGTACTCTTGGATATTTTTATGGGAATTCGACTTGTTCGGAGTTTGTTTATTCACACATTTTGGATACACTTTGCAGGCGGTGGTATACCTCGTAGTTTTGAACATTTATTTTATTTGTAAGAGGGTTCTCTCTTAGTTCACTAGCTTTTTCAAAGCTCGAAACGAACAGTCCGGCTCTCCACATGTCTAATCTCCCTAAGTACTGGCACGCGTCATATATCTAAATAAGTTATACAAATTTTACAAGCTATTTCTATTTTTGAAAAATGTGAATGTAGATGTTTGAATACATGATCGTTGGTTAGGATTTGTATAACATTTGTCTTTTCTTGATTTAGTATGTTCGGAATTCTGAGTGAAAGCTGTAAATCAGGCACACCCGTGGATAAACGGCCTGTTGTCTCTGGATGATTCAAAACAGACTGTCTTGGAGCACCTCTCCGAATTGGAATCACCTGAGCAGCAGGCTCAGTACAGAAACGGTATCTTTCTGCTCCAAAAATCTGATCCTCGTGTTATTTCGTGTTCCTTTTCTTAGCCGTTCATGCTATCAGCATAGGGCGAAAAGTCGAATTGTGATAAATATGGCAGAATGATGAATTCTCACAAAATCTCGGTGAAAACCAGGTTAAGATATATGCATAAAATGTACACTGGTTATTATAATCATCCACCCTCCTCCCCCTCTTAATCCCTACAATTCATGATAAGATTCATCGACCATACAAATGAACGGGATCTTCAACAATGCACATCCGGTGATAAGCAGAGTGATCAATCGTATCAGTACTCACATAGTTACTTGTTATCCATGTTTTCAGCCAAAGAAAAATCTGCAGTTTCGGTCCGAGACCGTTGCGGAACAACTGGGCCTCGTGCACGAGATTCGCGTATTCTTTCGAGGAGTATAAGTGTTTCACGGATAACAAAGTCTACTTTGGACAAATGGAAGCAAGAAATAAAATTCCAGTGAATGTTGATTCGATTGCACTTCAGAAAGGTGATGGTGGTGGTAGTGGTGATGGTCGTGCAACAGAGAGAAGTTAGCCAGAAACACTTACCCGGTTAATTGTGTCACTTAATCTTGGCAGAGGTAAACCCGGTAGCGAGTACTGATAACCATATAGACGTGAATGTCGAGATTTGAATAACTGAACCAAGTTCTTGGGAAGGGAAAAATATAATAAAAACAGTTTCGTAACAAAATATGAAAATTTGTATTTCTGGTTGACATACGTAGATACGTAATCGAATGGCTTTCAGTATTGGGTTCTTGAACACGCCTTCCGATATGGACTTGAACTGAGTGGAGTGTTTACGACACAATAAACTTGTTTGCATCACCAGGTGACGTTTGGACAGACAGCTCTTTCAGAGCCAGTCCATTAAAGAATCAATGCTATGAATCAGCGCTTTTGTAAGTGGGTTAGATGCTACTAACCGAAACAAACGTGACTTGATAGTCTTTCTAGAATATTTCGTAATAAGTAGCATGCCTGACGAGCGGCAAGAACCGCGAAACCGGTCGTGTGCTCCCAGTCATTCACATACTACTTATTATGAGAGAAGTGTGATCGTGCTATCAGCTAGAAAGTGAACTTCTTACCTCACACCAGTGTGGTCGAAATCCTTTCACAAATGATCACTCCCAACGGGAAACTGGAGAAGACAGGCTGTGACGATCACAATTCGTCCTATTCGGTAAAAGTTGAACAGTAAGGTAATGGACGAGTTTTGATATATTTTTCTGTCCTCAGCAGCAACCATCATGGACATTAGATAGTGCCTCCGATTGAACGACACCTTATGGCCAAAATATTGCTGAAAAACTTCAACAGAAGGCCTAAAAGCCAGACATTTGTGCACGGGAGAGCTAATTAACAGGGTTTTTAAAAAGCGTCCCGGACGAACTTTGTTTTTCATGCTTCACCTACATCATTTTGTTCCCTTTGGCTAGAAATATAAATAACTGAGAGGCTAATCAACAGATGTGTATTTATTCCATTTCGCATGCTTGCCAAGTTTGACAATTTGTTTGCGAACGTCCACTGCATTTTTTAGATTTAAAGAAAGGCTAACACCACCGGACCATTCAGAAATGGAACATATGGCTGATTGAAGGTTTGTTGTTGCTGTTAGATGCACCACCAGTATAAATCGATTGATTCAACAGAATAACGAACCATGAACCTCATAGGTAGGACGTAACCCAAGGAATAGCTTATCCGATTGGTTCACTTTGTATGTTCAAGCCATAAAACAACAAGCATTGAATCTAGCGTTCACCTTAACACTAACCTTCAGGCTTTTTGACCCTATTGACAATGGCTCAATAGTTTCTTCAACAGATAAGGGAATGGATCCGTCANTGGATCCGTCACATTGTCTAGCTCTCGTGTCAATATAAGACTCGCATTAATATGCACAAATTAGAGCTCATACGTTTGATGAACGGAATCTGTACCAATGATACGGTATAAACAGTAAAAAGATTACCTTCATTCAATTTTGTGTATATTGCGTGCTAGGGTAAAAAAGAAGTGAAAATGTTCTCAGGAAAATACAGATGTCCGATTCACAGGATAAATTGTCTATCATAGAACATCTGCCTGTTACCCTGTTCGTGTACTTTTACTCCACTCATTGGTAGGTGAACTTATCTTCTCTTAGTCACTTCACATCACGTTTTTTCATGACCGACTCCAGCTGGACAGAACGAGTCAGATTTGTGGATTCCTTAGATGACAGCTTTCCATGCTCGAACAGGGTAGTTATGAATCAATAGCGAATATACAGCTGGACCTGTTCATTCCGCATCCGACAATTTCGTAATTGACTCTGTCTCGAACTGCCGTTTACGAAGACCTGAATGCACTCAAGTATCAGTCATATGTCACCGGGTCCACTAACCCCCAACTCTGTAACTGTTCAATTTTAAATGAAATCCCTGTAACACTAAGTGAATCTGTTGTACCTTCAACTGAATTTTATCAATCCTTTTCTGTTGAAAACCTAATAAGGTGATTAGTAGTTAATCATCACATGTCCCCGACTGGAGTAGATCTATCAAAACCCCGACCGGTTTAAATGAACTGGATTTTTCATAGACTAGCAAAAGTGTTTTTTGGGTGAGTTACTCAGCGAGGACGCAAGTTTCGTTGGGGCGGGATTTGACTGTTCGTCTCCTCCGCCACCCGCGAACGTTGTCCTAGATCGTTGATTGAGTAAGCCTAACAAGAGCGTGAACGGACCCGTTGATAATTGACGTCGGTGAGCCGGGTAAAAAAGCGAATCACTTCAAGACAGATCGATACATCGATCACATCGCGTCGATGTGATGTTGGAGCGAATTGCTGCACTAATGGGTTCAGTCTAAGCCCTCGATAGCCTAGTAAGTAAATTCCATTGAGGTAGATATGCCCTCGAATGACATCAACTCCTTTGAACCAAATGCAATTACCCATATATTTCTGGTATTGAAAGACACTTGACAAGATACTCGGAAATGGGACAAGGATGCAGCGAAAGAACTAACAGTATTTCACCTGAATAGCAAAATCACTAACGTTCAGAGATCATATTTTTCTTTGTGATTCCCAAATTGGCAGGTGAATTCTATACAAAATGCCAATGACAGCAATCTGGCACCTACAGCTTCTCTCTTTGTTACTTAGCTTCGTCGCATAGGTTCTTATCCTTGTTGCATCATTTAACTTCCTCGTTACATCACTGCACAACCTGATTACACCTGTGTGATCCTTGTAGGCCAGTGAGTGAGGCATGCGGTGATGGGAATAAATCACAATTATTCACAATTCTGCAATGAATGATAGCATTGGGTGCACTGGGTGCCTCTTGAATGTTCGGTTTAGTGCAGTTTTCGATCAACAGTTGCCTTAAGATTGACCAGCGACCCCCTCGTAAGAAAACAGGAGTCGAAGGTCGTTGTCTAATATGGTAAGCAAACCTTCGATGAACAATGAACACCGGTTGCGCGAAGCGCTCGAGGAAGAGATTTGAATTTTTCCAGCTCGAAATTGTACCTAAAGCTAACAGGGAAACTGTAGTGATAAAAGCCCATGTAACCAGAGGATGTTCAGGTGTGTAGAGGAATATGCAGTGTATCACATATTTCTCCAAACAGTTTCCATCCCCTATGGTTTCGATCGAAATAAGTTAAAAATTGTAATAAGGATACGTGTTTATTTAGGACTCTGAGTTTTGTATGGATTTTACTTTGCCAAAGGTCGATTAACGCAGCGGAAGCTGAAGTTACAGTCTATAACTTTCATTGGGGCAGCCACTAGGAATTCCTGACGAATATCATATTGTTAATAGTCCGCTGAGCTTGACAATTTGTTTGGAAACGTTCCATCACTAACCGAAGTGATAGCTTTAGTGTTTTTTAGTGGCGATGTTCTATTTGTACCCGTCTGTTTGTGTACATTGGTCTTCAGCAAAATGTTTTCCCTTTCCTTTCATTGTTTTTAATTCACGTAGCCATTGCACTGCCGAGGGACGAACAGTCAAACCCCGCTCCAACGAAACTCACTCAGTAACTCTCTTCAAAAAATCCTTTTGTTTATCTATGAAAATCCTGGCTCCTTTAGACCGAACGGGGCTCTTATAGACCCGATCCAATCGGTGACGTATGACGGCTAAAGTTCCGATCACCCTGCACGGTTCCCAGTAGAAAGTAATTGGTTTGATTCAGTCGAAGCTGCATAGGTATATGTCTGCAAGTCATACGTCACGGATACTCTCGAAAGCTCTGCATTCCATTTCAGAGCACACATAACGTGTTTTACCTCCTCTGTTCTAACGGGCTCTTCGACCACGTGGCGACATTGTGGACTTCAGATAAGCAAAGCTGCTATTAGAACATAGCTTTGGGAAAGGTTAGCAGTCTGAGCCATCAAGGTTGAATTTGGAAGATAATCATATGTTTTGTATGGATAATGAAGAAGTATAACTTACCCACCAGATGGCTATCTTTAAACTTTTCTTGCCTCGAGGCAGATACATCCAACCGGTGTAGCTAAGTAGTAGACGCAAAATTAGTTGATTCAATAGCGACCCGCCAAACCAGAGCATCAAGGAGAATAGTATGCAGGCTGGCACATGATAGTGGACAGTCCATCCAAGGTAGCTGTAATAAAATAAGCGAGGGGCATGGGAAGAGTGTGAGTTGTCAATCGAGTGTGCTCATAATTCTGCTGCTAATCAAGTCAAGCTCAAACAGTATTGAGTAAGGTTATTATTTCAGTGCCTGCAGGAGAACAAAGTGGTACTCAATGCGACATGAGAGAGAGAGCGGAACAGTTTATAGTCATCCTAAGCGATGGTAAATTTTCTTAGTGAAATGAACACCTTCGTATGGTTTGTTCAACAGTGTATTACCAAAGCAAATATCTGTTAGTAATTCTATGGTATTGGAATACAATCAGAAACAGATGAGGAAAGTATTTTGGCATCTCCTAATCTCAAGATCATTGCGGTGTAGGACCCTTAATATGGGGAAAACTATCACTAGCAAGGATTTTTGGTGCAAATTGTTACCGGTTCTAGTGGATTAGTTTCCGTCTGGCTGAAGTTCATCTAGAATGCATCCTTCTAGAATAGTCCCTATAACGAAAGTTTCATACGGTTTTATATTT